GGGGGTTGGGGGGCTTATGGTGAGGGTATTAGTGGTGGGGTTTCAGCACGGGCTTCAGCAGACATTGACAACAACGTACCTGGCTTTCTGCAAACGTTGACGTTCTGCCCAAGAACTTTGAAGAGGGGGGTGGGGGTGTTAGTGGCAGGGTAGGGACGGTACTTCCCACCCAAAAACTTTGAAAAGGGGGGTAGGGGTTGCAGTGTTAGGGGGTGCTTCGTCCAAGTTGCCCTCGATACTGGTAGGGTGATGGTCCTGAGTGCTGGTCACACTGGGGTGTTAGTGGCAGGGTAGGGACGGTGCTTCCCACCCAAAAACTTTGAAAAGAAGGGTGGGGGTTAGTGTTAGGGGGTGCTTGTCACCGCTGTCTGGTGACTGCCCTCGATACTGGTAGGGCGATGGTCCTGACACTGAGGTAGGATAGTAGGGATAGGGGGTGCGCTGGAGGGAAGGTGGCCTATCCTGGCAGGACCGGTCCGGTTCCGGTTGGGGGAGGACCTCCCAGTCCTACCGGGTTTTCATCATTGGCTGGAACTGAATTATAACCCTCAAGCACACCTTCAATAGTCTCTGTTGTTGCTTAGCACCAATCCAAGGCACTCTGGGGAACACAGGTCACCGAGCAAAGACTCGCCTTAGGAACAGACCTGACCTTATGTTATTTCGTGCTGAGACTAGCATTGTCAATGAGGTAGTACTCATGCCGTCAGTGCCGTGAATAGCTGTTTTTTAAACTTTTTTTTCTTGATCTGTTTTGTTTTTTGTTTTTAAAATAGACATTGCAATCAGTCCTCTCGGCACGCAAGGATTTTTTTGCTTTTCAGAGTTTTGCCGGGACTTGTACCCGAGCCTGCGGATTTCTACTCCTGTAGGTTTTCGTTTTCGAGACCTTGACCTTTCACCGGGTATGTCTGATCGACTTCATTTCTTTGACGTTTGTATCGGCCCATATAGGTTTGTGACTATATTATACCGCCAGGTACTGGGCCCAGCTATCAGCCGTGGGAAAAAATAGAGTAGAAACGTTTCTAGTTGAATGAATTTGGGCGCTCCTGTTGTGACCCGTACATTTCCTAAAATCATGGCTTGCTATCGGGCACGCCTTTAGGAAGTAGTGGTGGTTTAAGATTAGCTAGTATAGTATTTGTCTCGACCTTTTGGTTCCTGCGCACGACCGACTAGAAACGTTTCTACTCTATTTATTGTCCGGAGTCCGGATGATTGTAGTCCATCGGACGCAGGTGGGATAGTCGGATCATTGTCCCTATGTTTGGTGGTTCACGGGTGTTGCGGACGGTTTTGAAATCTGAATGAAGAACTTGAGAGAACTTGAGTGGAGTCTTGCCACTATGCGGGATTCTTGTCAATCTTTGAGTGTATTCTCTTAGACTTGATGACACACTGTGTCTATATCTCATCTCATCCAAGACCATGAATATCCTCTTTTGCTGCGCTATTTGCTGGCTGGCGCCTACGCTCTCACGGGCGAGCAGGGAAGGAGCACGCAGCCATAGCCAAGCTGCGCTGCTTTATGCTGGGTGAAGCGCAGGGTGGTCCTTGGGTGCTAGTGGCATCTGTGAGTTGGGGAACGAGGTTGTGACGGTAGCGCAAGACATACCTGGTGCTGAAGCGTGCGACATTGGTCGCCATATGCTCGTACTTCGGGAACGCTGTTGATGTCATCATTCTGCTTCGTAGTATAGGCTAGATAGGATCTGCCACATGTAGTCTGGGCGCCGAGCGCCAATAGGATAACAACTCTGGTTCTTCGCTGATGAGGACGGGACTACTTCAGCTTGTCAATGATGAACTCTTGGTGTGTTCTTATTTGGTGTATCTCGTGATGCAATTCTGCGTTTGGTTCGAGGTCAAGACTATCTGGACTCATATGTATGATGCTGTTTGATTGTTGGAATTCGATATCACTCATCTTCCTTACAATTTTATACCACAGGCCCTGAGAAGATCTGGCCTGCATCATGTAATCTAACCCTTTGAAGTCCTTACAACTCCTCCAAGCAAAGCGTCCTCGGGCGCCAGGAAGATATGTCCGTAGAGGAGCTATAGACAAGCATAGGCAATGAGCAGATCTGTGCAGTCAGAATGATTGGGTTTTATAAATATATAGACACCCAAAATTAATAGACATCCGCTGCTGTGGGACTGAACTGTGATGTTGTCGAAGTATTTGTTCAACAACTCACTCCCCTGAGCATGAACACCGTTTAGCGACTCAGTGCAATTCAGATTGTAATTGGCAAAATTTAAGCGTCAGAAGATTCATAACGTAGTAAGTACTATTAACGGCATTATCGACAAGTAGATGTGAAAATCTCTCTGACCACAGCCTGCGCGTTTCCTGCAAAAGTGGTTTGTCGCTGTTGCAATTGGGCACCTAAAATCGATTGGTGTTTGGAATGTTGACCGAGAAGTTGCCGCGAGTGTGGGAAAGACATGACTCTCTTCCTCCTTCCCACATAGCGCTGCTCTTCAGGCTAGCGCAGCTCACACACATCTAGCGCACAAGTGCCACGGCACTTCCGCACTCTCATGCGAAGTGAGCATCTGTCCAGATGGGAGGCCGGCCAGTCCTTTATAGTGCTGGACTGGTCTGGCGTGGCCTGCATTCAGCCCCAAAGGTGCCTGTGAAACGGTATTCACCAATTCGTGGTAGCTGAGGTAGATCCCAGGGCTCGATCCCTAGTTTCCCAACTTACCTGTGTACAATACCAGCGTCAACTCGAAGAGTTGAACCTGCGACCTGTAGAACCGCCAGTGGTAGGTAGGTCTGTCGTAGGTCTATAGGTAGCCAGGATTCGATCCGTAGACCTATAGACTAGAAGGCTAGCTGCAGTCCTTCTAGAAGGTTGGCAAGTGGTCAAGTGG